ATTGCTTTTTGATTCTTGACAAAAAGGGGGAGAACGTAAGATATTTTCAATAACAGTATACTGGGACAAGGTCTCAAACATTCTGAATATCTTAACTTCTTATTTTTTCTGAAAACATAACAGGAACAAAACTCTGATAAAGACAGAAGGAGATGCATCAAAAACTCTGATCAGAATGAACTTCAGGAAAATAATTCATCTCAATCTGAGTACTCAACTCAGGGGAAGACTTTGTAAAGCTTTATGTTCTGTCTATTTTTATTGAAGAATCCTAGTTTTTGTCATCATCAAAAAGGGGGAGATTGTTGGAACATAGTTTGATTCTATAACCCTCGAAAGAGTTTTGATGATAACAAACACAAAGAAGAAATATGCACTCTAAATTTGTGTTCTATTTTGTACAGAAGTTCTGACGGAAGTGGATCAGAAGTTAAGCTACAAAGGTGTTCATGCTGTGTACGTAAACTGATATCATAATGTTCTGATGAATGAAGATCAGAATTTGCGCTAAAGAGAAAGTCATCTTAACTCTGAACGGAAGTCTAACATTACAAACAGGACCTTATGATTCTGGCTTCTCAAGTTCTGAAGCAAAGCAGCAAGCAGATTCCTTATGTTCTGAAGCGTTACTATTCCATCAAAGCAGTATCAATTGCAACAGCTACAAACAGACAAGGATCTTCATATTATGGAAAGTGCATTAACTGCCAATTATCAAGTTTCCATTTGCACAGATTGCTACGCCTATTTAAACAAGCATCAAGGTTAAATCATTCACGATTTACATCTCTTCTATCATACAATCTCTCAACGCTGCAACTCATATTCATACTATTCTCTAAAATTGTGCAATACATCACAAGTTTGTGATACCGTTTTTGTAATGAAAAACATCCTGTACACAGATTAATTCTTATTTTTGTTAGTGAATTTCCTTGAGATAAACCGGGTTGTGGTTGTACTCAAGAAGACTTTGGCAGTTGTCAAAGTAGAATTGTGATCAATTTGTTTAGTGAATTAAGACCTCGTTGGAGAGAGGCGAAATCACCTTGGCGGGTGGAATGGAGTAGTTTAAGATCAAGCGAACCAGGATAAAAATCATCGTGTCATTTGCATTTGATTTTAAAGTTTCAATTCAACCCTCCTTCTTGTGTTTTTCACTTCTTCACTTAGTGCTGATGTATGTAATTCGCCTAATCGCACCATCACCCAGGTCGACTTCCTCTAATGAATCTTGTGCTTGAATCTTCAAAATATGATCTCTTGGGTATTTTTCAAACCCCAAAGTCTCTTCTTCATATATGCAGTTAAGCCTCTGGCTTTCTGAAGCTGTTATTTGGCTTGGTTGTCTAAGTTTTTCCACCATAATGGCTTCAGGCGCCATTCTTGAAATATTTCCAGCCTCTAAGGCCGAGTTTATCCTGCTTTTGGCCATATATGCCAAAATCCTTGCCAAAGCATTTGACTCAGGCATCATTATGAGTTTGTTCTTCCCGCCCCGTGGGTTCAAACTTCCCTTTTAGTTGGATATGTATCCAGCTTTTCTTGGTCCCAAATAAAACCATGAGTAGGGTGTAGGGTTAGAAACTTGATCGCATCAGGATGTGACTTGAGCATTGCATCTTCAGGATCACACAAAGGTATAATAGCTAAGGCTTTGTCAAAACTCTTCCTATTGACCATACCCACATCAGTAGTAAAGTAATTGTGATCTGCCTCGATGTTCTCCACAATCCCATCTTGGCGCCATATGGATAAGCGTTGATGCAGAGTCGATGGTACTGCCCCAATGCCATGTATCCACTCATGTCTTAGAAACAAATTATAGTTCGCTTTGGACGCAATCACCATAAACAATGTTGGCCTCGAAGTCGAGCCAACTGACAAATTTACTTGAATCACACCTAGTATGTGACTTGTTTTTCCTTCATAGTTCGACAAAACCAAGTTATGTGGTTTAAAGTCAGTGTCGAACTTACCAGTCCTTTTCAGCAATGATTGTGGCATCAAGTTCACAGCAACGCCACTATCAACGAACACTTTGTTCATAGGGAAACCATCAACTTTAGCCCTTATAAACAAAGGCTTGAGAATGTACATCATATCAGATGTAGGCTTCTCAAACATCACCTGTTGTTCTTTGAACACCCCATTATTCATGACATAATAGCATAGAGTTTCTGGCCTATTGACTCTTCACACATAGTCTCCTCTTCGTTCCCAGATGCCTCTGACGCGAAACCATACTCATTAGGAAGGACCGACACAATATTATAATGTATAATCAAGCCAACATCTGAACTATCTTCAAAGTCGTCAGATAGTTCATCATCCATGTTGTCATCACCAGGATTTTCAACTTTTGCTGGCAACACACACAACCGACATCGATAACCTCTCTTTTGTTGGTCGACGATGCACTCCCTTCTAAATGCTCTCGCCCTTTGATGGAGAAGCTTTTAATGCCGCTTCTCTTACAGCTTTCTTATTTATCTGAAACCTTCTCCACTGAGTCTTTGTTAACTTCGGGCTCTTCAGCAATATCAACCACCATCACTTCTTGTGGCTCAAACATGTTGCCATTGCCACTTTTGAGACCTTCAGTAGTCTCGACTGTTGCAGCTATCATTGGAACAGGTCACAACTTGTTCACTCTTAAAACCATCAGTGATCTTGATTGTCAATGCTACGAGTGAATTGATAATGCTCGCCTATTCGCCTTCGAGACCATCATTAGCCTCGACCATCAACACTTCCAATGGTTCGACAAAGTGTGCATCAACAACATGCAAAGGGTCTGAGTCGACCTTCATGGAACTTTTTGGTTTCTCACAAAATTTCAATCGAACATCTTTCAGTGCTTTCTGAATTAAATCCCTGAAAAGAAAACATTGAGAAGTGTTATGACCCAAAAAATTATGAGACTAGCAAAAATCTTTTTTTTTTTGTTTCTGCTCTAATGGTAGATTTTTACGGCCTAGTGGCCACTGTGTTTTCTGTATATATGGTCGGGTTCGACTGTAACCCAACCATCATGGAATAAGACATACCATATTGGTAAGAGACAAATGATGACCCTGGACCCCCTGGAAAGAGTGCTCGATTTGGGTCAAATGGCGATATCCCATGCCTAGGTTCTGTAATTGTGACTGTTGTCCCTTAACCATGAACAATTGTCGATCTTACGGGAGATAAAATTGTCGCGCATTTAGTTGTGGTACTTACTGGTATGACATCCATATTTTGTGTAGAAATCTGCGTATGTGTCGTGTTTGTGTCAGAGCGTGGCATTTTAGACTTGGACAATAGTTTACCACTTCTCAAATTCACACACACTAACTATAAGAAACTTTGTAAAATTACACACAAAATACGAAATTATTAGCACTGTCCCATCGGGTGTGCCAATTTGTTTACCTCTGATTTTGGTAAACAACGCTGGTCTCTTAATAGAAAGTTTACTGGTAAGATCGACCAGGGAATCTCAGTACAGTGCTTCAGTTTTCGAGTGTTTTCACAAAGTATGTTCAAAAGAGTTCATTCGACTAAGGCGAAACAAATTTAAAAGCAATAAAGCAGGAATTGTAAAATAAAACAAAGATGTTTTAAACTATAAAAATAGATGACATAACACCCAAATAGTTGAAAATGGGTTGATTCAAACATACATCGCCCTTGCTTGACTCATTTCGCTCGTTCACTTGGGTACTCTGAGTGACTAACGTGCAGGAATGTGAAAGTTTGAATCTCTTACACTATGCACTAAGTGCTTTATTTATAATACATGAAAATAACTACTTTTCAGCGGGCTTCACTTCTTTTTGAGCCACGTGTCTCTTGTAACTTCCCTCCATGAATCCATGTTCTCCATCCCTGCTATCGAACCCATGTTCTCCATTCCTGCTATCGAACCCATGTTCTCCACTCACAACGCTTTGCTTTGCTAGTTATGCCCTCTTTTGAGATTTTTAACACTCCTGAGTCCAATCCATTCCTCATGAGGCCTCTTTTCTGGTCGACTGCGTCCACAAGTCCAAATTAGTCTTGTATAAAACCTCTTCCGGTCGACTGCTTCTGTGGTCGATTTCGTATAATTCAAAGTCTTCAAAGAACCTTTTTTACTTTTGGTTGAATTTTAACCCTTTGTAAAAATCCTAGCCAACAATGTCATAAGTGTTACAATAGCCATTGTAATCAACTAGCTTATACTTCCTTATCTTAGTTTAAACGTTTTTAAGTTTTTATCTCTAAACAGGCATCATGGCTAAACCATCTAGCTCTTCTAAAAAAAAAAAAGACGAAAGGTGTGACATCATTGCTACTTTTCAGTGTCAAACTTCGTGATGGTGAGAAATACAAGATTGATTTTGATCCAGATACTTTTCAACCTATTGGTCAGTATGCTGCGAAGTTTAAGAGTTATTCGTCGTACATTGCACGTAGCAAGGTTAGTATAAATGAAGAGAAATGTAAAAAGCTATCCGATAACTTGAAGAAAGCGATATGGGATGATATCACGATATGTAAATTCTTTATAATTTAATATCTACACTTGTTTCAATTACTAACATGTCTTATGTTTTGTAGGGTAACAAACTTAGTAGCTGCTATGGATTGTAAGTAATAAAAAATTCTTTATAAATTTAAATTTCATTTATAACTTAGTATTCATTTTATATAATGTGTATATGTATTTTAACATTTTAGGGTGATTTAGTGGAAAAAATACACAAGGTGATATTGTTTTTGAAGAACGTGAGGATATATTGACTGATGCGCTTGGAGCAAATGAATGCCTTGGTCGGATCCGCATTTCTCCTAGGGGTGTGGGCTTTAAGAAGTTCTTTGAAAAAAATTCACACTCCACCTCCACCTTACGAGGTGTCACACATGATGACCTTCAAGCATTGATGTAAAAATTGAATGTAGATTTCCAAGATAGATTACAGAAAGAGCTCCAACAACAAATAATAAAGATCCAGCAACAAATGAAAACAAAGATGGAAGATGAGAGAGCCAAGGTCCAAAAAGAAATAAAATTCCTTCGAGAGATGCAATTGGAGCTCCGCCCTAAGAATACTAAAAAGATGTTTTCAAAAGAGGTACTTCCTGTAATGACTTGCTTTCTGTTATTTTTCAAACATACAATCCTAAATTTCAAACATTGGTAGAAAGAAAGGACAATTGCACAAAACTGTATGAATGTTTTTTACTCTTATTTCCATTTTAAATTTATATAATTAAAATGATTTGACCTTAATAAACATTTAATTCACAATGAACATCAAGCAGCTCATGGACCGAGTTATTTTTGCGCTGTATTAGGCCCTGCACTTCAGTGTTTAGGACAATATTATGTATGGTGTATTGCCAAGGATGAATCTAAACAATAAGCTAAATACATATATAAGCATTTTTATCAAAAACTAGAGTAAGGTTTTTATATTTTTTAAGCCATGTATGATGTGTTTAGATTTTTTTAACAGAAAGGTTATATATGGAATTGATTCCAGCAAAAGACAGACATCACAACAGATGTGTGCCCTGTCAGTGTTTGTATACACTGCAAGGTTTCAAGATTCCAGGCCTGAAAAGAAGCAACCAGTTGGAACAAATAAATAAAAAAATGTCGAATAAATAAAAACCAAAACCAAATTCCATTTTGCTAAGGATGAATGTAAAGAAAATGATTATCAAAGAGAGCTTAAGTATACTTACTCTAATTGTATTGTCTATTGAACCAGAGTAAAGTCTATTAGCTCCAGGAATCTCCAGGAACTGCTTTCGCATGTCTTGCATAACCCCTATATACATACAATCATTCAGAATTTCTCATCAATAAACTAGTGAAATTAGTAATCCTAAATTGAACATTGGTTCTGGTAAATTGAATCTGCATTTATTATTGTCTTAATTTTTATATGCAAGTGCCTTACATTGTTTTCATATCTCAAGAATATGCATATAGTTTACATTTATTTTTTACTTTTTTTTTTACAGAATGTGCAAAATGTGGGTACGAGCAATAATGGAAGTTGCTCTATTGAAGAAGTAATAAAAAACAGCAGTGTTTCTAAAGATTATCTAAAACAGATTGGAGATCTCAAGGAAGATTCCTTCTCAATAGTTGTGATTCATGAAACAAGTGAATTATCAGTTTATATTGATAGGCGCGACCATACTGAATTAATTTCTGGTATTAAATGGATCTCCACGTCTATATTGTCTTTATGGTGCTCATAAGTATCTTATTCTATTTTTAATTATTTTTTCTATGTATTATTTATAAATTAACAATTGTTTCAACAATCAGATATCTATATGGCATTTGTATCTCCAAGAATGTCAGTGAACTATTTGAGTTTCTTAATCCTAATAGGACACTACTTGCCACTAAAGAGTCCGATGCTATTACATCCTACATACAAAATAAGTTGGACGGGGAGTCAAAAAAATGTTACTTACGACCATTATTAGATTGGTAAGTACATGTTTTCTTCAATGTTTTATAGCTTTTTAATATTATTTTGTAATATTTGAATTTTAATGATTCTAACACTATTGTTTTGAAACTACTGCCATCACTCGCAGCTGTTTGTTATTTGTCTCCGAGATAATGATATCTTTTGGTTTTGTTCATTAAACAAAAAAACTCAAGAAAAATATTAAGGTCATACTTGACAGGTAAGAAACATAAATCAGGACCTATTATTTATATTTCATTTATGTACCTTTTAATTTTATATTTATAACTTATTTATGCTGCAATTTCTTTTATCAGAGCTATAACAGGATATCACTTATTAAGAGGTGTTGAATAAGAAGCCTAATTGAAAGATTGTCAGGTTATTGATTTGTTTTACTATATTGCTAGTTTTTCAAACTATGCCCCTAAATAATGAAAGACATATTAGATGTACTATAATATATTGTTGGGTTGACTGACTTGGAATGAAAGACTTGACTTTAAAGAGTAAATGTTTTATTTAAATATTGTTACGATTGACTGATTTATAATGAAAGACTTAACATTAAGGAGTAGTAATAATTGGAACAAAAGACAAATTATTAATGAAAACTTACTTTAAAGAGTATGTGTTTCATTTGAATATTATTCGGGTGATTGGTCCAAAATGAAAGACTTAACTTTAAGGAGTATGTGTTTCATTTGAATATTATTCGGGTGACTGATCTAAAATGAAAGACTTAACTTTAAGGAGTAGAAATGATTCCTACCTGAACCAGGAATTACGCTTACGACATATGATTGGTAGTGTGATAGGGGTGGACAATTTTTTTCACATTTTAAGCATAAACAACTAAATCAGCTTAAGCATAGTTGTTTGGTTTATTAATTACTCTAGCAATGGTATACTCTAGTGTTGATGTATATGATGTAGCGGGAAACTAATTCCTGCATATCTGAATTAAGATGGATACTTTGATATAGATTCTTATCCAATCTGAAAGTGCATGCCCGTGTGTGATATCTGTTGAATATAATCATTAGTATTGATAGTAGACAAATCTTGCAACATTGTAGTTTGTTGCCTCCCATTCACAGTTTTTTTATCTTACTGTGTTCCTTTGATAGGTCCATGGGAGTTGTAATCCTTTCTTAACATTTGGTCTCATCTTGTTATTGGTTATTAATTCATTAATATATGTTTTCAGTTTTCTGTTATGCTATCCCATTTTATTGCGGAATATGATGCTTTCAATTCAGTACATCAATTGCACCTATATAGTTTTGCATTTATGTAATAGATTTGTATCTTATATGTAGGCACATCAGTAAGATAATAGATGAGTGTGTGGATATTATGTAATGAAGAACATGCTTGATATTGTTGATACTTCTATTGTTAAGATTCAACGAGGTAGTATAATTTAAAATATTTTCTTATGGCATGTATTTATTGAAAAACATGTAAAATTATTGTTTTAATATGTAGATGTTTAATTTATTGTATGTTGAACTTGTAGATATTTACAAACACATCATCCTATGAAAAAGAGACAATTGGCCATATTCGGCAACTTTGGGCTCAAAGTTTTTTGCAAATAGTTAAAAATCAAAAGGTTGAGGAGCAAAATCTACAAGACCAAATGCAAATGGTTGAAGAGGATAAAGACATAGAAAAAGACCAAATGCAAATGGTTGAAGAGGATAAGGACAAAAATTTTGGTAAAACAAAAGCGAAGGAAGAAGAAAGCTTATATAGGAAGAAAATGACATGATATATTATGAGTTGGTTGAATATTTTATTGTTAATATTATGACTTCTTAGTACAAAAATATGATTTTGTATACTTTTTGGTAAAAAAAATATTATGATTTAGTACATGAAATATGATTTTTATGTGAATGACTTTAATACTATTTGAAATATTATGACTGCTTAGTACATGAATGAAACAACCGGCTGAAGTGTCAACTGATAATAAAATCAATGAAGTCTCCATTGAACGTTTTTTATCCCACGAGAAGGGAAAAGTAAACATCGAGTAAACCTGAGAAGGGAGAAATCACGGTCAAACGATCAAGAGATCGGGTAAGGGAGTCTGTTACACGAGGGAAAGGTATAAGCACCCCACACGCCCGTAGTACTCTATAATATTTACTCATGTTATTCTAATCTAATGGGTGTGGTCAAAGTCTATGTCTATGGTTTAAAGTAAAAAGAAAGAGGAAATGCATGCAAAAGAAAAGGAAAAGAAAGTGTGAGGAAAAGAAAGAGATTTTTACAAAGATATACTTGATTAGGCCCCGCAAAAGCCTCTGCCTATGTATCCCTTTTAAGGAATAAAGCAACCGTAGTTCAGATCACCTGTTTTGGTAGATTTGTGTTTTTTAGTTGAACAATGTTAAATTCAATCATTCCACCACTGCTCGACCTTTGGAGATTTACGACCTATAGTGGAGAGGAACTAACATGCTCTTAGAAGAGAAAAACCGATTGACAAAAAGAAAAGAGTTGATTAGTGTTTTTTTTACCTTAAGAAAGGGTTTAATTTGTTATATAGTATTTTTTTATTAGTTTAAGGAAAAGAAAGTTTTAGTTTTAAATGCAAGGATGCAAAAAGAAAGAAAACATCTAAGGGAGACTATTTGGAATCTAATCTCTAATGTTATCATACAAAGATAAACCTATGTCAAAGATGAAAGGGAAATATCTACTTATGTTAGCATGCATGGATTACTATCCTAAGGTCTAGCTTGAATCAGGAAAGAAACAAGCACCTCCTAAGGAAACATGGTATATACAAATCAAGCAAGCAAAGGAAGCACGTGCATGGCGAGAGTAGTGTATCCCAAACAAGTAAAGGAGAGTGCATACATGGCAAGAGTAACATGTCTCAAAGTAGCAAGCTCGAACAAAGGGAGCACATACATAGCGAGAGTAGTGCACACTACCTTAAGCAAAATAGCCTAACCAAGATATCACGAATCGAGGTAGGTGAAAAAAAATCAAGAGAAATGCTTTAGCTAAGGGGAGCGGATCACCCGAAGCAAACAAGCGGGATTGGTATAAAAGCAAAAGAATAGAAATGCTTTAGCTAAGGGGAACAGATCACCAGAAGCAAATAAGCGGGAGAGATGAAATAAGAAAAGAATATAAATGCTTTAGCTAAGGGGAACAAATCACCCGAAGCAAACAAGCGGGTAGCGAAGTGTCAGCACTGGTAATTGCGAACTCCTGACAAAGTGCGGGGGTTGAGACAAAACCCTTTTCCACATGACTGACTCGATACAAAAGATCGGCACACCAAAGCATCGACGTACAACATGATCTAAGGATGATACAGACTAGAATGCACGGGGTTGGCTACTAACCCTTTCTGTTTGCCTCCTTTTGAAGACTTGTCATTTGTAGTATATGCGAGCACAAAATGTAAACACACCTACAAAATACCTACTTTAAAGGTAGGATTTTAAACAAGCACAAATTGCACACAAGATGCACATAATTCAGAATTGCCCTAAGAAGATCTTTAAATAAATCAGATGGATTCTGGACATGATCAGCAACAGAGATCCCTGTCATACATATTTATTCTTACTTCTCATGGCAAGGAAAGCGGTAAAATCCTACTTGACATGATCTCTAGAAAGGAATAAAATGCGGAAAGAAAATAGAAGGGAAATGTACCAAACAGACAATAATCCGTAGATGCTAAGTGTTGTACCCCAAAATTTTCCCTCTCTTTTCTCAAGATATTTCTCACCAAAGATCTAAAATGCTAAAGGGTTCTCAAGAGTTTGATCTGACAAGCTCACCTCCAAAGCACTGAGTCTCCAAATTACGGTTGTGACTGAGAATGACTGATCACCGACTTTTAACCTAATACATGACCTAATAAATTGAAGCATAATATTGAAGGTTCAAGGACCTTATCTTGACCTAATTTCATTATTCAAATCATTTCTCAAGATCAAAGATTAATAGTTGAATTTTTGATCAACTGATGAAAAGTCAACTGATACACAAAAAGTCAAACTTTAACTTTTTGGTCAACATTACATTCCAAAGATCAAAATTCATCAAGACATTCAAAAATATCAAACTTTATCATAAAGAATCAAGAAAGTCCACAAAAGGTCAAAGTTTTCAATACTTAGAAACTTTCTAAGTGTTTTTACACTTGATAATTTCACTACTTCATAACAATTTTTCACCAAGATGTAAGATGATTCAAGGAAAACTTTCAACATGAAAGTTTTAGATATTGATGAATTCTATAACTTTGTATTAGAGGGTTGATGTTCAAAAGATGCTTATATTTGAAGATATAAGCTCATGAAGTCATGACATTTTTGTATAAACACTTGGAGAAATTTTCAACAGGTTTGGTCAAGTTTTTATCCCAACTTCTTGGCCAATTTTCATCAAGTTCCAATTTGATTTAGCCAAAGTGGTCAACATGAAAGTTGTAGACAATGTTTCAATATTTCCAAAACATTCAAGATAATGAATTTATCATACTTGAGCTAGGAGATTCAAAGGCATGAAGTTGGGCATCCATTCTTGAATTACAAGTTACTTTGGTGAAGAACACATAAGCCAATCTACATGCTATGCTGCATAATCTTGTTTTACAGGACTTCTAACTTGCAAATATCACCATAATTTAATGTTTACACAAACTTTTGAGTTATGGTCCATTTGATTTAAGCATTGTCCAAGTGATCTTTCCATTTTTGGCACAAAGTTAACATTGCCATTCTTGCAAAGTAGCTTTAATCACAAAGTTAGCTCTTCTTGAGCCTCGTGTTCCTTCTACACACACTCAACATACAAAATCAGATAAGCATGCTTAAAGTATCCAACAACTCTATGAAGCAAAGTACAAAGAATTTGAACTATGATCTTCAAGCTTGCTTCACTTACAATCTAACCTAGCCACAATATGTGATCTTGAAAATCTGATCAACCCTTGTCTTAAAAACTCTTTCCTATAAATAGTGAGATCATTTGCAAGATAGAAAGAGATGAACAAGCCCTCAAAACCCCTATACTCTCAAAAAACCAGAAGTGTCCACAAAACCTCTATTTTTGAGCTTTGAAGTCCAAATCTTTGAACCTCTCACACCTTGCAAATTTTTGCCCAATCAAATCATACAAATACTTCACATACATCATATAGAAGTTGTTCAAACACAAGAACAACATCTGTAACCTCATTATCACCGTCTTCCAAACTCGAAAACAACACCTTACAACTTGACTTGGTTGGAGTGATTCAACAACTTTCAGCACAAAGTGATGACTGATATAACTTCAAGAAGGTCCAAAGGAGCTCGACAAATCACCACTTTGCACTCGGAAATATCCATACGTGTTCTAAAGTTTTCGCTTCAAGAGGTAAAGTTTCTCAAACTGTAATATCTTTATCCATACATCATTTTCTTTTGCTTTCAAAAGGATACAACAAGACATATCAATGAGAAAACTTAGCAAAAAGGCAGGCCAGGGGCTGACACGGGTGCCCGTGTCACACGACACGGCCCGTGTAAGTTCATATGGATTGGGAATTTGGAAAAACAGGCAGGACAGAGGCTGACACGGGTTCCCGTTTCACACAACATAGCCCGTGTCAGTCAGAAACATGCAAAGCAGGAAGGATATGGGCTGACATGGGTTCCCTTGTCACACGACACAGACCGTGTCAATTTGGCTGGAACAAAAAATGTGTGGAGGAGAAAGGGAAGATTCTGGCACGAGTGCCCGTGTCCACTGACACGGCCCGTGTCAGCTCAGGCATCAAAATTCCTAATTTTGAGATTTTTAAGTTACTTTTGACATATTACATTGTTTGGAGATGGCCTAACACTATACAAAACCTTTTTTTAGATAAAACATTCAAGTTATTTTCTAAAATAATTGAAACTACAAAACCTTTTCTATCAAAAAACCCTAAAAAAAATTTCTTTTCACTTTACATTTTCTTGCCCATTTTACTATTTTGCATTATAAATTATGTAATTGTCAAAGTCTTGTAATAGTAATTAGGGTTTATTTTTACTTGTCATCCCCATTTGTAAATTTGTATCCCCCAAAGTATTGTAATAACGTAGGATATTTAAATTCCGCAATTTATCGCTTTCCATATTATTGTTAGTAATTAGGGTTTCTATGACAAGACCTTAAAATCAACCTTAGACAATCCTAATTCAAGATAAAATACATGAAAACAAAAACACTTTACACACTTGCACCTCTAGGATAACCCACGTTGCCTCAGATTTAAACAGTCATGTCCCTCGAACGTGGGATGTTTTAGCAAAAACCCTCGACTACAATATCGTAGTCCCTCGATGACCCATCGATGTTGCCTTCGGTAAACGATCTTAGACCCTTATGACAATTGCTAAAATATCCTACAAATTTGCCTTCTATGATTGTACGACGACCCACGTCTGTCTCTTCACATCCAATGATATGGTTTCTTACTAACTAATGGTAAGATAACATTATCTAAAGGACGAGGAAAAGAACAAAGACTTTATTTTGAGTAGGTAGAATGCTCGTAGTTTCTTGCTCACAAACGTTTCAAAACAAACATTTTTCAAACACACTAACACTTTCATGAAATATTTTCAAAAGTCAACACTTTGTATGCATTCTTATAAAGATGAGAATCATTACAAAGTTTGCCTAAACAAAGGTACTTTTCAAAAATACTCTCAAACAAACACACTCACAAAATCATTTCAAAGTGAGCTAGCAACTAAGAGC